GTAAACTTTAAGGATGTGTGCCTAGAAAAGAAGGGTTAGTTTTGAATACCAGGTCGGCTGGAAGAAAAGTGCACGACAGCCTCTGCAGCTCTGTGGTCTTATGCAGTTGTCAGTGGCCAGGATTTCTGAAGTCTGGGATGAGAGGGGGTTGCAAGTAGTGTGTTAACTGAGCAGTTGGCCTGATTCCCTGTTCGATTCTGGGGCAGACACTGATCTTAGTCTGGGGGTAGAGCAGTGACCTCCACACACTGGATCTAGGGTTTCGTGGAGTTTACAAGACCATGGATTAAAATAGTAGGTTCTGAAGTGGACCCCAGGGGTATTCCCTACAAAACTCTGGAGACCTGGTCAGATTTCAGACATGCTGAGATGAGAAAAGGAATTCATTAACTTTTCTACGTTTAGCCTCAGTGTCTTGCGCATGTCTTAAGCTTAATAACGTGACACGGTGTTGCCAAGTCCGCTTTGTCTGGCACTGAAGGCAGCGGGCGTTTCCCTGTGGGATGCACTCTTCAGGGAATCTTTGTCCCTGCAGAGCCAGTGAGTTGTCTCAGGAGCCTTGAGGGGAGGACCGGCAGGCATGTCTCAATGTTTCTGTCACTTGGAGCATTCAGCCACCAGTACCGTGGGCTCTGCTTTCAGTCACCCTGCTTCTGTGCTGCCTTGGGGCCTTTCATTTAGCAATCGGCACTGAGAGCTCTCAGGTCATCGCAGGGTTCAGGTATAAAGGAAGGGAGGAGCTCTGAAAGGCACCCAGAGGTCACCTGGGCTGACTTCAGCTCAGGAGCCGAACGGCTGTCCGAGGGAGGGAGGTGGCATCCACCCCCTCACCCCCACCCCACGCACCGTGGAACCAGGTCAGCCGAGGTGTCGGGGTCTTAAGATCCATGCACAGAAGGGTGGAGAAGTGAGCAGACGCTGAAGTTTGCCCCAGGTCAGATGTGATTCTGGGGGAAAATTAGATTTTTCCCTTCCTGTATGTATCACCTTCTTTTCCTGAGACATAACACAGGCAAAACAGGATTTGTGTGACACGGTTTCAGTGGCGAAATGCTGTCTGAGCCTGGGAACTGACAGACTTTTGGAATGTGTTCATAAGTTAGCAACTCCTGTGTTAAGCATTTCTTTGCAGTTTAGGGTTTTTAGTCAATTTTTTCCCCCTTTCCAGCTATGAGAAACAGATTGCTATCTTATTTTGAGAAATGAGCCATGTTGTGGGTTTCAGAATGTTGAGGTTTTTAAACGTGGCAGTAAGGACTTGGCAGCTGGAGGTGTGGACTTCTGACTGCATTCGACCTGGAGCAGATTTATCTCACCCGGAAGTCCCCGCCCGCTCCTGACTGCTCTTGGCTTTACTGGTAGCCTCCGCCTAGGCTTCTGTAGCAGATACTGCCTTTGACCACCCTGGTGACGGTGACAGGCTCTTACCCTAATGTCAGAAAGCGACGAGGAACTAACCAGCCTCTTGATGAAGGTGAAAGAGGAGAATGAAAAAACTGGCTTAAAACTCAACATTCAAAAAACTAAGATCATAGTATCCGTCCCATCAGTTCAGTTCAGTTCAGTCGCTCACTGGTGTCCGACTCTTTGCGACCCCATGAACCGCAGCGCGCCAGGCCTCCCTGTCTGTCACCAACTCCCAGAGTTTACCCAAACTCAGGTCCATCGAGTCGGTGATGCCATCCAGCCATCTCATCCTCTGTCGTCCCCTTCTCCTCCTGCCCCCAATTCCCTCCCAGCATCAGGGTCTTTTCCAACGAGTCAACTCTTCGCATGAGGTGGCCAAAGTATTGGAGTTTCAGCTTCAGCATCAGTCCTTCCAATGAACACCGAGGAGTGATCTCCTTTAGGATGGGCTGGTTGGATCTCCTTGCAGTCCAAGGGACTCTCAAGAGTTTTCTCCAACACCACAGTTCAAAAGCATCAATTCTTCAGTGCTCAGCTTTCTTTATAGTCCAACTCTCACATCCATATATGACTACTGGAAAAACCATAATCTTAACTAGACGGTCCTTTGTTGGCAAAGTAATGTCTTTGCCTTTTAATATGCTATCTAGGTTGGTCATAACTTTACTTCCAAGGAGTAAGCGTCTTTTAATTTCATGGCTGCAGTCACCATCTGCAGTGATTTTGGAGCCCCCCAAAATAAAGTCTGACACTGTTTCCCCATCTATTTCCCATGAAGTGATGAGACCAGATGCCATGATCTTAGTTTTCTGGATGTTGAGCTTTAAGCCAACTTTTTCACTCTCCTCTTTCACTTTCATTAAGAGGCTCTTTAGTTCCTCTTTGCTTTCTGCCATAAGGGTGGTGTCATCTGCATATCTGAGGTTATTGATATTTCTCCCGGGAATCTTGATTCCAGCTTCTGCTTCTTCCAACCCAGCGTTTCTCATGATGTACTTTGCATATAAGTTAAATAAGCAGGGTGACAATATACAGCCTTGACGTACTCCTTTCCCTATTTGGAACCAGTCTGTTGTTCCATGTCCAGTTCTAGCTGTTTTTTCCTGACCGGCATATAGGTTTCTCAAGAGGCAGTTCAGGTGGTCTGTATGCCCATCTCTTTCAGAATTTTCCACAGTTTATTGTGATCCACACAGTTAAAGGCTTTGGCATAGTCAAAAAAGCAGAAATAGATGTTTTTCTGGAACTCTTGCTTTTTCAATGATCCAGCGGATATTGGCAATTTGATCCAGTGGATATTCTTTTCTAAAACCAGCTTGAACATCTGGAAGTTCATGGTTCACGTATTGCTGAAGCCTGGCTTGGAGAATTTTGAGCATTACTTTACTAATGTGTGAGATGAGTGCAATTGTGTGGTAATTTGAGCATTCTTTGGCATTGCCTTTCTTTGGGATTGGAATGAAAACTGACCTTTTCCAGTCCTGTGGCCACTGCTGAGTTTTCCAGATTTGCTAGCATATTGAGTGCAGCACTTTAGCAGCAACATCTTTCAGGATTTGAAATAGCTCAGTTGGAATTCCATCACCTCCACTAGCTTTGTTCACAGCGATGCTTTCTAAGACCCTCTTGACTTCACATTCCAGGATGTCTGGCTCTAGGTGAGTGATCACACCATCGTGATTATCTGGGTCGTGAAGATCTTTTTTGTACAGTTCTTCTGTGTATTCTTGCCACCTCTTCTTAATATCTTCTGCTTCTGTTAGGTCCATACCATTTCTGTCCTTTATCGAGCCCATCTTTGGATGAAATGTTCTCTTGGTATCTCTAATGTTCTTGAAGAGATCTCTAGTCGTTCCCTTCTGTTGTTTTCCTCTATTTCTTTGCACTGATCGCTGAGGAAGGCTTTCTTATCTCTCCTTGCTATTCTTTGGAACTCTGCATTCAAATGGGAATATCTTTCCTTTTCTCCTTTGTTTTTCGCTTCTCTTCTGTTCACAGCTATTTGTAAGGCCTCTGCAGGCAGCCATTTTTCTTTTCTGTATTTCTTTATCTTGGAGATGGTCTTGATCCTGTCTCCTGTATAATGTCACAAACCCCCGTCCATAGTTCATCAGGCTCTCTGTCTATCAGCTCTAGCCCCTTAAATCTATTTCTCACTTCCACTGTATAATCATAAGGGATTTGATTTAGGTCATACCTGAATGGTCTAGTCAGTTCATGGCAAGTGGATGGGGAAAAAGTGGAAACAGTGACTGACTTTATTTTCTTGGGCTCCAAAATCACTGTGGATGATGACGGCAGCCATACTTGTTCCTTGGAAGAAAAACTATGACCAACCTAGACAGCATATTAAAAAGCAGAGATATTACTTTGCAGCAAAGGTCCATATAGTCAAGACTGTGGTTTTTCCAGTAGTCATGTATGGATGTGAGAGTTGGACCATAAAGAAGGCTGGGCGCCGAAGAATTGATGCTTTTGAACTGTGCTGTTGGAGAAGACTCTTGAGAGTCCCTTGGACTGAAAGGAGGTCAAACCAGTCAACCCTAAAGGAGATCAGCCCTGAATATTTGTTGGAAGGGCTGAAGCTGAAGCTCCAATCCTTTACCTGATGTAAAGAACCGACTCATTGGAAAAGATCCTGATGCTGGCAAAGATTAAGGGCCGGAAGAGAAGGGGACGACTGAGGGTGGTTGGATAATATCACTGACTCAACATGAGTTTGAGCAAATTCCCGGAGATGGTGAAGGATGGGGAAGCCTGGGGTGCTACAGTCCATGGGGTCCCGCAGTCCATGGGGTCCCGAAGAGTTGGACATGACTGAGAGGACTGAACAACAAGTGTTACTATTGTCATTTTTGTTGTCTTCGTCCTCTGTGCTCCTCTGTTCTGCCAGGGATAGCATGTGTTGGTCACTCACATACAGATTGTTGATTCTCTCTTTGTGCTCAGTGTCATTAAAGATCTCAAGGTGGGATACAAGGAAGCCTGGGTATTAGTACAATCTAACCTTCTACTTTCCTGTCACATCTGTGCGATCATTTCTGGGTTTTCCCCCTTATTTGTAGGCATATAATAAAATTTTTGTTTATAAAAGGGTAGCTTCCCCGCCACCGCCCCACCCCCCCACCCCCCCACCCCTGCCGAAAAGGTGGTTAATTGTGCTAAGTCACCTGGTAATAGGTGTTTTTGTAAGGCTTCTACTTTTTGCTGCTGACACAAAGTAGAATTTTTTAAATGAATATGTGTAGTTAAGAATGCCCTGACTCTGGAACTTACCTCTTTCCTCATTTTGTAGAACAGAATGGTTTCACTCCTGAATTACTTGATCACATGATCTTATATACAGGAAACTTCATGCTAGAGGTTTATTTTGAAAATAGCACGTGGGTACTAGAAAGGGCACCGATTGGTGATATCAGGTGTCTTGACTTCTGTCACTGACTGTTCCTGGATGAGGTGATCTCATCAAATACTTCCTACCTCTGAAATTCCATTCCACTGCATATTTTAACATAGGACGGTTAGAAATCTTCACTACATTCTTACATTCTTTAACCCCTATCCACTTTCCCTTTCAGCACTAAACTGAGAAGATGTCCCTGTACGATGACCTGGGAGTGGAGACCAGTGACTCAAAAACAGAAGGCTGGTCCAAAAACTTCAAACTCCTGCAGTCTCAGCTCCAGGTGAAGAAGGCAGCTCTCACTCAGGCCAAGGTGAGAGAAGCTAAGCCCACCTGTGAGGAAAGAGTCCTGGCAGGTGCCTCCTGAGGATTAAGAGCCACTCCTCTGCCTCTTTGTTAAATATGTAGGGCTCATCCGTTGTAGGAGGAGAGGCTGGGGTAGGAAAGGAGAGGAATAGGAGTTGAAGGTCATTTCCTGTCTCCTGGAAATAGAACTGCTTCAGAGAATCAGGATGAGGAAAAGAGTACTCTCGATTTCCAGCAGTGATGCTGGTTTTCAAAGTACAGTATGTCCAAGCATAGAGTTTTTCAATGTATTATTTCATATGAAAATTTAACAGCAGCCAGTCTTTCTGTAAACCTTTTATAAAAATGGAGATTTGTGTTGTAAGAAAAAGGAACTAGTGTATGGTTATCTTAATAATTGAATTAAAAGGCTATTGTTTTAAGATTGTTTCTCTCATATCTGAAAGGTTTGTTGCAGAGACCAAAAAAAAAGCTTTGCTACAAGTAATCCGAATTTTGGTTTGAAGCCTCAGTACATTTTTCTTGGTTTTTGATGATTTTAGAGCCAGAGGACAAAACAAAGTACAGTCCTTGCTCCAGTAATCGACCTAAAGCGAGGCGGCTCTTCAGATGAACGGCAGATCGTGGACACTCCGCCGCACGTGGCCGCGGGCCTCAAGGTACGCCTGCACACACACACCTGGGTGGGCTCTCCTGCTTTCCCAGGCTGCACTTTACACACGTCACTCTGAGCACCCCTCCTCTGTAGGCCTTGCAGTCTAGTCAGTATCATGTTCAATTTAATTTTTGCTCTGGTTTTATGAACTTTAAAACACTTAATCTGTTTAAAGCTCAGTAGTTATATAATCAGAAACTGGAGGTGGACGAAAAGAAAAATAAATGACTTAAGAATTTAAAAACTCGGTATTCTTTTCCTCCTGCATCTTCTGTTCCCTGATTTGCTTTTCTCACTTAATACACTGTGGCTGTCCATCTGTGTCAAAAAGTATAGGACCATGTGATCATCCTAATGGTTTCTCTGTGTTCCCCTGTGTGGCATGCTCTGAAGCTCTTGGTGGGGTTTCCTGGCCAGGGGAACTGATCCTTCTCCTGCAGTCTGGTAGTCTGTCAAGAGGGAAAACCACTTGGTTCCCCACAAGCGAACTTTTCTGAGGATTCTTAGTCATTTAACATTTTTTCCCACAAATTCGTCACCTAATTTTTTTCTTGCTGCTTCTAATCAAAAACTGGTTAATCTTCTTCTGTTATTGTATACTGACTCCAGAACCTATAGTATCACCCCCAAATTTAATCAGTAAGCATTTTCCTTTTTGCAACATAGCCAATTTTTAATTGTAAAGTATTCCCATCAGCTAAGTGTATGGTGATTTACACACCCATTTCCTAACTGTAGGACCAGTAAACCTTTTAGGGAACACATTTTCAGAGAGCTTTCTATGCATTTAAAATTTTCTTAGGATAGATTTCCTGAGGTGACTAGGAGATCAGTCCCTTTCCTGGGCAATTTATTTATTGCCACGTTGTTTCTGGCAGAGTTGTATCACCTGCAATGTGAGCGTTTGAGTTTTTCCCACCCTCTGCAGTATTGGGTATTGTCAATCTGTTAAAATGAAGCAAGCCCCTTTATTCTTTTTGGCATTTAGAGCAGGATGGCTCATTGTTGAACTTAGCAGGGTTCACACAGTAAAAGTTATTTGCTGTCAGATTTTAAATGACAGAGAATTAACCTTCATGCTGACAGTTTGTGCTCTGAGTTGAAACTTTGTGATGGCAGTGTTAAATAAATTGAGTTGCTGATTGTTAGCTTCTCCTGTCTTAATAATAACTGAATGGAAGTGTTGTTCAGGTGCTTTTGTGTTTTAGAAATGTCTTTTATGTCCATACAAATGAATACCTGCCCTTTGGGAGCCTTGCAAATAGATTTCTGTCAGATTTCCAGTGATAGGGCCTGGGAGGTGATGACAGTCATTTTTCTAATTTCATTTATTCAACAAATCAAAGTGATTTTTGATTTTTAATTGTAAGGAGACCATGATGTGTTTGTTTTATTAATATGATGAGAAAATGTCCAGTTGCACAGTGTAGTCAAGGAATTGTTAGATTTGGATCCATAGATACTGAGCATAAGCTCTCTGTATCATGCCTGTTTTGTGTTCATATGTAAAATACGTTTTACAAACAGCCGTCCTGCCCTTGGCAGTGCTGGGCACGCTCCTCCTGACAGGTGCAGAGTGGGAGCTTAGGGACCCTGACCTGCACTCATTTGGGTGTCTGGGGACCAGGGAAGGTATCTTATTTTTATAGACATTAAGAGGGTGTCATGCTAGAGAAACAAACAGAAGAAAGTACGAAGATTTAGGAACGTGAGACCATGCAGTGGGTCAGGGCTTAGGAGAACCACAGAGATCAAGACCACCATTCTAGGGCAAAGCCCCCTTGTCATCTTGTGTTTCTAGTGCACTGTTTGCCGTTTGTTTTTTCTCTCAGCAGTTTGTAAATGTACAAAAGAAACGCAAAAGCCTGATTTAGCGGACTTTAAAAACTGAACCATGCTGTGAAGGGGGTTACGTACGCTGTTCAGACTCACAGCCTGAGATGCAGCGGCCTGGGGAGGCTGTGGACTCGAGCATTCAGAGCCCAGGAAGAGGCTTTCTCCTTTTCTTTCCTTTTGTTCTTTTTTTTTGAGAGTCTTAATATGTTGTGTCTCCATGTAATCAAAATCTGAGATTATTATATTAAATGACTGCAAGAATATGTTGTTAATGAGTTGTTTTGTATTTTAAGTTTTTATGTATATAAAAGTAGAAGTATTTTGTATTTAGTCTAAAAAATCAAATTTATTGCTTAAAATTTTGGGTGATGGCAGCTTGTTTTAAGACTTTCAGGAAAATGCTCTAGGGTGTTACTGAGAGGTGAACTTTGCCGTGCTCTGCCGCCCCTGGGCCGGGCGCGTGAGCATGCCGAGTCTCCGAGCCTCCCTGGGCATCTGCTCCCTGTTCTGTAGAGCAGAGGGAGGTGGTCCTCGGGGCCCAGTCTTTCCCACATGGTCCTTGACCTTAATTCTGTGAGTAAAACTCCAAGACAGAGGGTGATACTTACTTGGGCATTTTCCCTTCCTCAGGACCCTGTTCCCAGCGGGTTTTCTGCAGGAGAAGTTTTGATCCCCTTAGCTGATGAATATGATCCCATGTTTCCTAACGATTATGAGAAAGTAGTGAAGCGCCAAAGAGAGGAGCGACAGAGGCAGCGGGAGCTGGAAAGACAGAAGGAAATAGAAGAGAGAGAAAAGTAAGGCCTCATGCAAGTGTGGGATGGGATTGTTTGAAGTGTTCGCTCAGATGTCATGAGTGAACTTTAGTGCTGTCTGTGGACTGAGTGGGTTTTGTGGTTGGTCTGAACAGTCCTCAGGAGTCAGACTGTTGTTAAGAGTGTGTGGTTGTTATATCCCATCATAGAAACAAACTCCAGAGTAAATTCACGTATAGATGCAGAAAACTTAGAACATACATTTTGAGTGAGTTTTTAGAAAAATAGCTTACAAACTGATGTTGAATAATAGGTTTTTTCTTTTTTCCTGTGTTCGGACTCTACTAGAGTCATACTGCTTAAAATACTTAAAATGTTTTTCTCACCTTTCACTATTTTTGAGTCAGATAGAGTTTTTAAGAACGCATAACATCTTTTATGTTTTTCGAAAGTATGGGTAACAGATTTATTTGCATTTCTTCTCTTAAAAATGCTGAATATTAATTATTAAATGATTATATAAACATTAATATACTGTTTCTCATTATTTACTGACTCATTTCATGAAGTGAAAGCATGTTCTAGAGAATCGAAATTATTTTATTAACTGTTACCTGTGTTGATTTGCTTTAAAGTTGAAAGAGGTAAATATGAAGGAAGCTTTTTTCTTGCTATTTATATGGATATACCTGTTAAATTTGTTCAGTTTATCTTCTGGATTTTTCTCACTTGGGCCCTTGAGTTCACATCTCTGAATTGTTCATCTGTTATCACAGGAGGCGTAAAGACAGACATGAAGCTAGTGGGTTTTCCAGGCGACCCGATCCAGACTCTGATGAAGATGAAGATTATGAGCGAGAGAGGAGGAAAAGAAGTAATGCGTGAACATAAATGTCATGTTTGAGATGTGCAATTCTACCCTTTCCTTCTGTATTCAGTTTGACAATTAGTTTAGCTGACATTGATTTGGGTGGTTTTCTCTCTGGAATTTCAGCAAAAACCCACATTTGTATGGGGTTTAACTTTTTGTTGTGTTTTCACAGATAATCTTTCTAACATTTCCTTATTGGCCCTTTAGCACACCTTAAACTACATGCCTGTGCTTGTCTCTGTCCATACCATAGCCATGCCTGCCTGTGCTCTGTCTGTCTGCACTTGCATTAAGAACAGCACTGAGTGGAGAGTGCACTATTGTCCAGAATCCTTGCCACCCACATGCACGACTGAGTCCCTGAATGCTGGCTTCTGGCAGTGTCGTAAGGAGGGCGGGGAGACAGGGTGTGAGCTCGTGCTCTGTCAGGCCGCCTCCATCTCTGAAGCCTCACAGGCAGCATCGCAGTTGTGTGAGAGCCAGGTTCTTGGTGACTGCTAGATAGCTAAGCAGTGTCCTTTCTGAGAGAACGGCTTCATCACATGTGGTTGCTGCCTGTACACTGATTCTGGGGAATTTCTTCTGTGAAACATTTCATGCTGGTGCAGCATGGTTTTGTAATTAGTTTCTTTAATTTACATTTTATCATTTTTTTGCAGTGTCTCATTGATGATTAAGTTATAATACATATGTTAGGGCTTTTCCCTGGTGAAAAATCCCTGTGTTCTCTGCTCATGTTTTCCCTCTGGTGGTCTGATAGCAAACGGAGTCCGCGTTGGTTTGTCTGTGTCCACCATTCTCTGTCTAGGCAATGTGAACAAGAATGATGACAACACAAAGCAGACTGACCAGAAGTACCCACACATCCAAGCAGTGGTACCTACTTGTGTACTTTTAACCCTGGGTTCAGACACTGGACTCTTTAGGTGTTAGCGAAAGGCTGGAGTAGTGTGCCTGCTGCCTCTTCCTTTGGGGTGGGGGTGCGATTCAACGGGGCCCGGGCTGACTCGCTCTGCCCTCACTCAGCCCTTGCTTAGCAGAATGTCTGTTTTGCAGGTATGGGCGGAGCTGCCATTGCACCTCCCACGTCTCTTGTGGAGAAGGACAAAGAGTGTACGTACCTGTTTCTTCCCTCTTCTGTTCAGCTGCACGTCTTTAACCCAGTCTTGGGAAGCCTCAGCTGGAATCAGCCAGGCACCTGGGTGCAGGGAAGAGGCCCCCAAACCCTCCTCACTCGAGCCATCGGCCAAGAGCACCTTCCAAGCCCTTACGTTTCAAAAGTTTTTATGCCAGTCTCTAGGGCTTTTCTGCAGCAAGATGCTTTTCTGTTTGTTGTTAAAAATAATTCATTTTGTTTTCTCTAACATTTCATATTTGGAGTTAGGTTAAAACAAATAATAGCTCAGTTTCAAGTTCTGTGCTCAGTGATCTCAGGTCAGCTCAGTCGCTCAGTCATGTCTGACTCTGCGACCCCATGGACTGCAGCATGCCAGGCCTCCCTGTCCATCACCAACTCCAGAGTTTACCCAAACTCACGTCCATTGAGTCAGTGATGCCATCCAATCATCTCATCCTCTGTCGTCCCCTTCTCCTCTTGCCCTCAATCTTTCCCAGCATCATGGTCTTTTCCAGTGAATCAGCTCTTCGCATCAGGTGGCCAAAGTATTGGACTTCCAGCTTCAGCATCGGTCCTTCCAGTGAACACCCAGGACTGATCTCCTTTAGGATGGACTGGTTGGATCTCCTTGCAGTCCCGCACTCCCAGCAGCTCTCAGTGATCTAGGAGCTGTTAACTTTGTGGCCCTCCACAAGGTGGCAGCACGTCCCCAAGTTAGGTCCCTCAGTCACAGGTTGTGCGCCTTGACTCAGATTCCCAGAAGTCTTCTCCAGGGATAGGTTCTAGAATTGGGGGTTGGAGCTGGACTTGGGTGAATCTCCTAGTTCATTTTCCTGCTCTCTGTGTTGGAGCATACCTAAACTATCCTGAGAAAGTCTAACAGTCCTCAGAGTTTTTAAATACCTATTGCACTATGAATGTTACCTTTTTATAAAGAAGACAATACAGAAAAAAAATATGAATGTTACCTTTTTATAAAGAAGACAATACAGAAAAAAAAAGTTAATAATGAAAATACCTGACAGACCATAAACCCCAACTGAAGCCAGTCTTTGGGAGTGGAGCCCAAGCATCTGCAGCTCTCTGAGCTCCTTGCTGATTCTGTTGCACAGCTGGGGTTGCACTTCACTGAACTGGCATGTGGTCCCTGACCTCGGAGACCTTTGTTGTCTGCTGGGGTAAGGAGCACAAAAAATAAAATCCTGTTTCCTATCATCCAACAGTGCCCCGAGACTTCCCTTATGAAGAGGATTCACGACCTCGCTCACAGTCTTCCAAAGCTGCTATCCCTCCCCCAGTGTACGAGGAACAAGACAGACCCCGATCCCCGACCGGCCCTGGCAACTCTTTCCTCGCCAACATGGGGTAATGGCCCGGGCACTTCCGCCTCAGTGGGACTCGGGGGGGGGGGGGGGGTGTGGTCAGCCCCTCCAGTGGATGCAGCGTGTTTGCAGATGAGGGCTTCAGCGGGTTTACAGGGAGTGCCTGGGGCGCCCAGTCACAGGGGATCAGGGCTCGAGTCGCTGGGAGGGCATTGCAGCACGACCCTGTTAACGTTTTGTACAAAACATAGAGCTTTCTGTCAGAAGTGTTGAGTGATCTGGATGCTGAACATTATATTCTCTAGGTAGGAACAGTTTCTGATTGTTATTTATATTTGTTTTCAGAACATTGGCAAATAGAATAGCTCATATGAATTAGACCTGACTTATACTATGTCCAAAAGATGAATAGTATCCTTTTTTTCCTTGATAAAATGACCTTTGCTTTAAGGTCATGAGTCTATACCTTTGGTCTAAACAGTTTTAGTCATTCTACCTATATTTAGAAATTTGTTTGCCAGCGTTTGAAAGTCAGTGTTAAGGTGGACTTCAGGTGGGGCTTGTGGATTGTTTTTAGGACTTGCTGGATTTGGCATGTGTTTGGCTGAAAGAGTGTTTATGTTCTTCACTGTGTTCCTCGTGCTCCGAGGGGGTGTCGGGAGCAGCACTGCAGCGAGGCCTTTAGGAGGCCGGCGCCTCTGGTGGGGAGGCTGTGCCTGAAGAGGTCTCTCTGGTCTGCCCTCGCCTGTGTGAGCGCTTTGATTCTGCCTTCACTCCCTTGGGGCTGGGCTGGTCAGAGCCGAGGAGCGGGCCAGGGTTCACATGGTGTCGGAGGATTTGGAGTTCTCACCTTGGTACCTGTTCTCTCGACCTGTGCTGTTCTCTGGGGGCTCCTGGCCATTTAGGGCTCTTGAATTAATTGAACGTGAATAGAATTCAGTGTGTATTTCTTTCCTCATGCTAGTCTCGAGTGCTCAGTAGCCACACAAAGCTCAATATACTGCCCTGGGTGGTGCAGACAGAGGATGTTCCCTCATTGGAGAGATGCGCGTGGGGCTGCCCTGGAGAGTGTACTGCAGGGGCACAGGCGTGACATCACTGGGGGCTGGTTTTGGTTTTTTCTGCTAGTGAAACAGATTGCCTTATTACTGGTAAGAAAAAGGTATTAAATATTTATGCCTGAAGAAGGTGCAATGTACAGTTCATAAGCCTTCAGTCTTTTTAGCTCTGGAACAACTTGTTTAAATGAAATGTTTAAGGAAATTACATATGTGAAATACTGTAGGTACAGTTCTGGTTGAAGCAGGGTTTTGGGGTTCAGGCTGTAAGAAGCAGTGGTCAGTGTGGGTACCCTTGAGGCCCCTCCCTGTGCAGTTTGAAAGCTATCAGGAACTAGAGGAAGAGCAGTGGACTAAGAATTCAGGGTTATGGCTTTCAATTTCAGTCCCACCGTTAATACCAACATGTGGCTTGCTTTGCTCTCAGTCAGCCTTAAGCTAGGCAGCCACTGTGGGCCCCAGTTTCTTCATTTCCATCTATTAAATAGATGGTCCCTAAGCATCCTTCATTTATGAAGTCAGTCATTGGAAACTCTTCTATACTACTTAGAAAAATGCAGTCGTCTTCATTACATGAAACCATACTTAGTTTTTGACAGGCTTACTTAAACTAGTTATGAGCCTTGTAGCAGAGCATGGACACAGGAAGTCTGGTATTTTCTAACAGGCCCTGGGGAATTCTCACCAGAGGAACTAGTGTTTCCTTCACCTCAGGTAATCTAAGGGCATTCACTCTTTATCTTTCTCCTGAACATCCCACAACTTCCATCTCAACCCGTTAGTAGATATTTGGCATCATCAGCACCCTTGTGGAATCTACATTCTCTCTTCTCAGAGGAAATTGTGATGTGAAATCTAATCTGTGCTGTAGCTGATGACCCAAGTGCAGGGACCTTTCTCCTTTTCCTCCTCGCAGGGGCACGGTAGCACATAAAATCATGCAGAAGTACGGCTTCCGGGAAGGCCAGGGTCTCGGGAAGCATGAGCAGGGCCTGAGCACAGCGCTGTCGGTGGAGAAGACCAGCAAGCGGGGCGGCAAGATCATCGTGGGCGACGCCACCGAGAAAGGTGGGCCCCCCCTCGAGCAGGGCTCCTGGGGGTGTGGGCAGGGGCAGGCCATCCTGAATGAGAGACTTCCTCATCGTGATGCCTTCCAGCTGGTGGTGGAAACAGAATTCTGAGGCCCATCTTTACAAATACAAATAGTTCAGGACAGAGAGACAGAACGCCTGTGGGAGGAAAAGAAGACGAGAGGCTTTGGCAGAAATGAACAGGACTCCAGAAATCCTGTCATGCCTGCTTCTCCTCGGGAAAGAGCCTTGTTATACTGATAGAACCGTTACTGTGTTTTTATAGCAGTACAGAGCCATACACAGTGTATCAGTGATTCTTTTTGCTATATCTCTATCCTGTAAGGGTTCTCTGCTTTTTTCTGCCCTTTCATCCTAATTTTCTTACTGACTGCTCTGTAAAACTAATGTTACTTTGCAGTCTTCTGGTAGATGATGCCTACTTGGTGTTTTATTTTCATTTGATTGTTACAGTCTGTTCTGTAGTGAGGGCGTACTGGAATGAGTCAAACATGATTTAGCACTTTAAGCAGCAGAACTGAGTAGTTTTGAATCAGTCTTAGCTGAATCCCTTTTCCTGAAGAAGGAAGAGAACTTTCCTGGCAGGCATGTTGATGTGGAGCTTGAGGAAGCAGCAGTGAGCTTCACAGGCTGGAACCAGAAACCAGCAGTCACCCCGATGTGTGGGAGTGTCTGACACTGTCAGCTTGTGGCTGGCTGCTGACCTGCTCGTTTACACTGCACTCAGGACTGCTGACCACTGCCTGAGCCAAGGCTCGCTTCTGAGGGTGGTGATCACCGTGCCCTGTCGGCCCTTTAGGAAGTGAACTAAGCAAAAATGCACCTCACTGAGGATGTTAAAAAGTTATAGAAATTATGGTAAAAATTATACCAAAGCAAAGTGATGCTTTCAGACAGATAAGGCTGCATCTTTGCTCAGAGACTGTGTAGATGCTGGCTTTAGGACACAGAGAGTGGGGATTGCTGTTGAAAGTAAATTGCTCGTTGTAACTTAGACCTGGTGCCCTAACACTTAGGTCTGATGATGTTTTCTTACAGACGCAGCCAAGAAGTCAGATTCAAATCCATTAACTGAAATACTTAAGTGTCCTACCAAAGTGGTCCTACTCAGGGTAAGCAGCTGAAGGAGGACCTGCTGCCCGCTTTGAGTCGTGTGTCCTTCCCCCTTGCCCTGTCCCTGCACGCTGTCAGCCCCACTAATGACGGGATAGCTGAAGAGAACTGAAAGTGGTACTTGTGGGTAGACTCCCTGGAAGACTGGTTTTTAGATTCCTTTTCACTAGTGTTTCTTTGCTAAACATAGTATTTAAGACTACAGTGATAAATTACTTTAAAATGTTTGAAATTGTCAGAAATTCAGCTTGGTTTATATATTTTGGTCCTTGCCCAGTTGCTTTGGTAATTCTTCTTGAAGCCTAATGTATATTTTTTAGTTTTTTAAAAAACTAACCTACTTCAGGATATTTCAGGAATGAAAATTTTCTTTGGGTCATTTGGGTTTGGAAACACTTGCCATCATGGAAAAAAGTTACTTATACATCTCTTTTACATAGTTGTCAATTATACTCGATATTGGAATTTATATATTTATTTTTGTTTATAGAACATGGTTGGTGCAGGAGAGGTGGATGAAGACTTGGAAGTGGAAACCAAGGAAGAGTGTGAAAAATACGGCAAAGTTGGAAAATGTGTGATATTTGAAGTAAGCGAAATTTCTTTGTTTATAACCCAAGTTATGACTGATAGGTTACAAAGCATTTTCTATAAATATAGGATCCATTGTAAGTAATATCCTGTCTTACAAAAGAAGGTGACATGTGTTGGTTAGTTATACTGCTTTTACTTAGTTACTGCAATTTCAGATATTAGCATCAGAAGAACTTCAAATGTTATTTGGTGAAGAAACATTTCATTTTGTGACTGACGTTTAGACTTGATGACAGTGGACTCAGTGGTTTAGTGACAGGGGTGTCACATGTGCCTTTGGCGTCATTCTTTCGGCAAGTATTTTATTTAGTGCCTCCCATGTACCAGTACTGACTGCACTAGGGTTGGGGAGGTGCCTCCTGTGCTCTCGGTGATACGTTCAGCTGAAGAAACAACAGAACAAATGTGAAGTTAGAGAATATTCAGTTGCTGGACTCAGTAACATTGACTTATAAGTACAGGAATTTGAGAGAAGGATTAGATCAATACCGAATAGTTAGAGGAGGCTTTTTGAACAGTATCAAATGTGAGCGGAGCTTTGGACTGTGTGGGTAGGATTTGGGTAGGAGGGAACTGGCATTCACATAGGGTCACGTCTTCTGGAGACTGGGATGGTGTGGGTGTGGTGGGGATTAGCGGCAGTCGTGCTTACACAGTGCAGTGGGGCCTAGAAAGTATAACGGAGGAACTCAGCTTGGTGTGACAGACAGTTCATGTACAGATGTTTTATTTTAGTTCCTGCTCACCTCAGCTTCTCTTCCATGCTGGCTTGCGTCTGTTGATTGCATAATTATCTGTTTATGTGTCTGATGGCATAGGACCTGCAAAGGTATTGCTTAGCTGCCTTTTCCTTGCACTTAGCACACAGCCTGTCCAAAACAGACGTTAAGTGAATTTTGATGATGAGTAAATTACGCTTATTGGAAAAGGAAATGGCAACCCATCCCAGTATTCTTGCCTGGCAAATCCCATGGACAGAGGAGCCTGGTGGGCCACAGTCCATGAGGTCACAGAGTTGGACACAACTGAGCGTGCACATGCACACACAGATTACACTAATATCCTTGGCATTTGACCCCTGCTTATCTGTAATTGGAATACTCACTCTGACAAAAATCATTGACATCTCTGATGACATCTTTAGTTACTACACTCCGTTTCTTTTCCAGATTCCTGGCGCCCCTGATGATGAAGCAGTACGAATATTTTTAGAATTCGAGAGGGTTGAGTCAGCAATTAAAGGTAAGTTGTACAGCTAATGACAAAGAATTAAAAAGTTGAACTTGTGATCTTAATATTTTGAAGACATATTGTAATGTCTCGTGGAATTCCCGCCTTAACTAACTGTCTTTTGTTTGCCTTTTAGCTGTTGTTGATCTGAATGGGAGGTATTTTGGTGGACGGGTGGTCAAAGCATGTTTCTACAATTTGGATAAATTCAGGGTCCTGGATTTGGCAGAACAAGTTTGATTTTAAAAACTAGAGCCTGAGTCATCTCCAGTGATCCTTCGGCGAGCTGCAGAGGAGAACAAGGCATCAGGGGGCCTTTCCTGGCTGTGGGTGCAGAGACTCTGTAAGGACTTCTAAGATATGTTGACTGATCCCTTTTTTATTTTGTGGTTTTTTAATATAGTATAAAAATCCTTTTAAAAAAACAAACAAAAAGCAATCTGTGTGCCTCTCTGGTTGTTTCTCTTTTTTATTACCACTTCTGAGGTGATTACATTTTTTGCTAGGGTTTCATGATAAGTCTCAAGTGCTTCAGTGATACAGCATTTCTTGCACTTAAAAAAAAAATCTAGAAAGTTTTGGCGGGGTTGTGTTCCCTTTTTCTTTCTTTTTTGATTTCTTTTAATAAAACCTGCAAGTTACTAAACTGTAGCTTCATAAATTCTATAATAAAGTATCATCTTGGCAGTCTGCCTAAGGTGAAACCCTCTGCTTTCTCTAACAGAGAAATTCTTATTGACTCCAGTCATAGAAAAAGCTCTTTACAACCTAAACTAAGGTTGAAGAATCTTGAGCCTACCATGACCTGTTTGGATGAATCATTTTCAGTTAAGTCAAGTCAGACTCGAGAGATTGTGATGGACTTAGGAGTATTTGGGTATAGAAATCATGAATATAGCATTTGTTTTCAGAGATTGAAGCCTAGTCTTTAGCATAGCTCAGAACCTTATGGGTACATTGTAAATGTGTGCCCAATAATGTGGAAGTGGTGATTCCCTGGGGTCATGTTTCTACTGGCAAAATTTGCAGTCCTGTTAGTTCTCATATGTAATTTTTAAATTGATAAAATTCAGCCACATCAGCTACTTAGACTGTACTGCCAATTAATATAATTCTGGAATTGTGAAAAACTGTACCATCGAAGTACAGTGGTATATGTGGCCTAAATGCTTAGCGAGACTGCAAGACAAAACAAATAATAATATTTGGCCCGAGCAGGAAGTGTTTCTAGAGTCTGCCTGCCTGTATTCTGCTCCTTGCTTGCCCAGATATTGCATGTGACTTAACCTGAAGCGGCGGCTAGGGCCATGCGCCGTGGTGTCTCTTCAGGTGCTTTCAACGTGACAGTGTGTGTGACCCTGCGGGGGAGGAAAGTAGCCAGTGTTTCTTTGCATCCATGGACTTGGTTTGGAGACATAAGGAATATTTTGACCCTTTTTAAAAAAGGATTTTCTCATGTTTTTATTTAACATAAAATAAAAGAATAACATTTTCTCTTTTGTGGTATTATTTTACTGAGTTAAAGTGAATTAAGACTGCTTCTAAGAAGAAAGTGCACATACTCTATGAAATAAATATGAGTTTAAGAACAAAAGGTAAAAGAACTACATAATTAGACATTTTGTAGGACCTGAGAGTCAGCAGCCAGCCTCACACTTGCACAGGCCTACCGCACACTTGGCTCCGGATACCCATGACAGTGTTGCGCTTGGGCTTACAGAGGCTGAGATGTGCTCGTGCTGGGTACTCATTATGACGGCTTAGTTTAATTTGTGTGAACCCTGAGGTCTGGGAAGTATACGTTCCAACCCCCTTTGACAGCTGCATTACTGTTGAGCTTTATCATAACATCATTGTTGAGGTGGCTTTTCCCAACATTCTCACCATCAACCAGAGAGATGCAAGTGCTTCACTAAGATTTCTGTTAGCATGGGTAAAATTTAGTGAATATTCCCCGAATCTGTCTAATTGTTACACTCTCCATGATTGCAGTAATCAGCTAGTGCATTACTTGCAGTGAATTTCCTGTGTTAGAATAATTTGAAAATCTTATACAAGATAGTGCTTGAGAAATGTGAAATTAATTTTTAATATTAATTAAAATTCAAATCAATGTCAATGGAAAATTTCCAGTGTAAGTTGAAAATGAATGAAGCTCCAGTATAAGTAGAAAGCCTCAGCGTCAGACATTTGTCTTCGCGGGCCTGCCTCTGATCTGAAAGCCCTTCCTGCCTCTGGGGGTCCCCTGTGTTCACCTGCCTCCCTGAGGTAGAGACTCCGAGCGTGCTCCCCCAGCCTGCCTGGCAGCCCCTCGAGGCAGGAGGATGGCCCTCGCCTCTCTCCGTCAGCCATCCTCATGCTTGTGCAGGTAGGCCCAGTGTTGCCTAGCCTTGGGGGCAGAGATCTGTCTTGAGGCAGGGCCTCTTGTGTCAGGGCAGTCTTTGGAGCAGTTTGTAGCTGTGATTTGTGATTTATTTATGTAAAGCCTTCAGGCATGAATGGAGCTAGTCTGGAGATTGCATTTGCTATCTAGGTTTTGTTTCTTCGTAAAGTGCTTTTTCTGCTTAAACCGGTCAAAGTGAATGCGCTCACTTGTAACCAAGAACAAGTCGATACCTGGAACTGAAAGTGACAGATCTTAAAAGATGGAGGAGGGGGCCTAGTGTCCTAGGTTAGTTGGTGAAAAATTAATGAACCTAGTTATTTAGTAGCAAAACATTTTGCCCAACTGTTACTGTGCTTTAGGGTCCAGACCGGACCGGTGATGACTGAAGGACAGGGACTCTGCTGGGTGTGGCTGTGCTGGTCGTCTGTTGAGGCATTTGTGGTGGTGCCAGGCCTCATGGGGTCACTCAGTGTTGACCAGGTGGCCCTGCTGAATACAGAAGTGAGTGATCATACCCAGTTTTTAGGGTTGTCAGGAAGGTTAAGCAAGCCATACATGGGGAGCTGTAGAGCCCTGCACGAGAGCTGGATAGTCAGACTGAAGGAGCTGATTTGAAAGCAGGGTGAAGAAGAAAGTTTGGCCTTGCCAAGAGAAGCTTTCCCAGACTCTGGCTTGCAGTCCCATGATAAGAGTCCTGCTGGTTTGGGAAAACCTACCATAACAGCCTCAACCAAGAGCCCAGCAGCTGGCAGCCTTAGCAGTTGAGACTGGAGAGTGTGGTCTTGCAAAATGGGGTTAAAGGCGTTCTTTCCCACTACAAGCGATGGTTTGACTTGCCCTGAGACACTGGCCACTGAGGTGCAAGAGGGACTGGACAGCCCAGGATCAGCTGCTGTAAGACAGAGCGCTTGGACAAGAGCTTGTCCAGGGAAGCCCATTGTCACTCAGGCAGGCCTGGGGTGTGAGGTCTCTCCTGGTCCTCTCCAGCCGTGGCGTGTTGGGTCTGCGTCCAGGGCAGCTGGTCTGGCTCTCTAGCGAAAGCTGCAGCACAGAGGCTGCGTCTGCCCTGAGGAGAAGACGCCTCAGCCCGAGACTGCATTGAAGTCAACTGCAAGAGACTGGAGTCGTCTTCCTCAGCCCAGGGTGAGTGTGGGAGGATGGACGTGTACTTTGTGGGGAGCCAGAAAGGTCGGCTGTGGCAGACACTATCCAGCCCAGCATTTGTTCCCAAGCTCCTCCTTGCATTCTTAGGCTTCTGTTTTAAAGTCCAAAAGACTGAACTTCTAACGTGGAACTAGGGATGGCCCCGTGTTTGGCCAGTGAGCTGTAAGCGGCAGTTGAGGTAGTTTTAAAAATGCTTTTCACATTTCCAGTTAAACCAGGGCAGCCATTCAGTGAACTTGAGGCCAACATGCTAAGCATGGTATGAAGGGGAGTCCTGGTCACAGGCAGTGAGGGGCTGCCACAGCCCTGGGTGCAGGTCTCGGGGGGGGAAAACGGAGGGAAGTCCTCGACCCTTGGGCTCTCTGCTGCTTGCAGGCAGATTCACCTCTTGCTGATAGTCTGCGTCCCAAAATGTGTGTGATACGTTCAAAGGCTGGGGGAAATTACTTTGTAGACAATTAAAAACTATTGAGTATAAAACCTTGCAGACATACTTTCTTATAGTCTGCCGCCTTAGTCATCCATCCCTAAAGGAGAATTCAGTTCCTTATTTTGCTTCAACGAGCATTTCTTTGTGAGTTGCTACGTATATATTGCTAATTGTTTTTAGCACTGAGAATGAAGAAAATGAACAAGGGAATAATACTTTAAAAGAGTTCATAGTTTATTTTAGAGAAGCAAAAGCAAGGTGAAAGGTGAAAGAGGCTAACGTGAGAGACATCCCTTGACTGAGCTCTTTGGGGTCAGTGGCACTTTATCTCCAGTCCCAGCGTCTGGCACGCACAAGGTAGACAATAAATGAGCGGTGAGTCCGCTGCCTGCGTGTAGAGTACTGAGGTCACAGATGACTGAGCAGGTCTGTTAGGCGTGGTTAGGTGCAGCATGGCCATAAACACGAGGGGATATGTGCTGGGGCTGAAGACAGAGGAGGCATTGCCCTGGGGAGAGGCGAGGGGGTTGCTTTCCAGGCAGAACTGCAGAGGAGGGAAGGAGGAGGGACAGTGTGACCCCGCCTGTCTCGCTGTGGCCTGCTGACCCAAGGCTAGTTCTGATGGCACCTCCCTGCTCAAGAGTATCCCCTCACCCCCTGCCATGGTCTTTAGAATAAACTTTTCATTTTAGATGCACACTTTACTGTGAAAAGGAACTAAAAAGCCTCTTGATGAAAGTGAAAGAGGAGAGTGAAAAAGTTGGCTTAAAGCTCAACATTCAGATAACTAAGATCATGGCCACTGGTCCCATCTCTTCATGGGGAATAGTTGGGGAAACAGTGGAAACAGTGTCAGACTTTATTTTTTGGGACTCCAAAATCACTGTAGATGTTAATTGCAGCCATGAAATTAAAAGACGCTTACTCCTTGGAAGGAAAGTTATGATCAACCTAGATAGCATATTAAAAGGCAAAGACATTACTTTGCCAACAAAGGTCCATCTAGTTAAGGCTATGGTTTTTCCAGTAGTCATATATGGATGTGAGAGTTGGACTATAAAGAAAGCTGAGTGCCGAAGAATTGATGCTTTTGAACTGTGGTGTTGGAGAAGACTCTTGAGAGTCCCTTAGACTGCAAGGAGATCCAATCAGTCCATCCTAAAGGAGATCAGTCCTGGGTGTTCATTGGAAGGACTGAGGCTGAAGCTGAAACTCCAATACTTTGGCCACCTCATGCGAAGAGTTGACTCATTGGAAAAG